CAAACCTTGCCATTTAATTCCTGAAAGGAAATGAGAGCTGAGCATAGTGACACATGCCTTTAATTTCAGCAGCCTGTGAGTTAGGACAAAAGGATTCAAATGAACTCCAAGGCCAGGCTGCCTTTACAGTGAGACTCTATAAATAAATAAACACATACCCACACCCACACACACACATACACACACACACACACACACACACACACACACACACCATGGAAATGAAATGCATCAGTGCTAAGGTGAAAATCTGTGCAATTCACTAGTATTCAGGGAAGTGAAATTTTAAACAACACTAAAATATCTATAATGCTGTATATATAATATTGGCAGACATTTGCAAATTGCCAATACCAACTGTCAATCAAAAGACGCAGAAGATGGGAATTTTTCTATACAAAAGAACAAAAATAGGACAGTGCAAAGTGAACTTAAGCATGCATATGTTCTGCCATTCCAAAGATCTCACTCTAGATACCTATCCCAGGCAAGTTCCTATGCTTAACCTGCAGGGGATGTGTAGGAACTTATTCACATTGGTGTTTTCCTTTACTGGAAGATGAGAACAACTCAAATGTCCTTAAACAATATAACTGACAAGTTAAATATCCTTAAATTTAGTTGCAACAAAACTACAGCACCAGACAACGATTTACAGTACATAGCTTGTTTGGTTGATGGTTTAAGGAACAGATATATAAGAAGGGAGCCTGAAACTAGGGCAGTATTAACAATTCAACACAGGGTGCATTACTGGAAGCTATGTGTGGACAAAGGAAGCAAAACTCACTCTGAACAACTGTGGGTCTCTCTACCCTCGTGGGTCATTGGCCACTGATCTGCAAGAACAAAGGGAGCAGAAGCTAAAAACAGGGTCAGGACTGCCGTGAGTATGACAGAAAGTACTTCCAGGAGTCAGCTTCAGTGAGACAGCTCGTTTATTTAGGGGAGTTGGAGGGAATATACAGGGTGAGGACGGCAGCCAAAGCTTCACCTGATAGGTGTTCATAGTCTGCTTTATTTACATGTGGCAGGAGGACCCTATCATGTAGAAAGAGGAGGTGGGATTGACTGGCTGTGGTGCAATGCCTAATTAACATACGGGAAAAACAGGGGCAGCATTTGCAGGGAACTATGTCAAAGCTCATGTTCCAAATAAGGTCATTCATCTGCGCTTGGAGATACTTTCCAAATCAGGTCAGGCAGAGAGTGGGAAGCCCCTGCTGAGAAAGGGAGTCCACCATTTTCAGCCCAGAGAGCTATCCGGACATGGTGGACTACAACCTTAACGGCAGGGTCCCCCAACAAAGAACAGCAGGAGATAGTGCTGTGCATGCCTCAGAGTAATCCCAGATATAAAACAGGGATGTGTATCCCACAATTCACTTTATCCTCTGGGGTACTGATGCTCCAAGGGCACATATCTGTGGGTCTATTCAACCTAGGAAGACACAGCCCACAAAAGAGCATTGAAATCAAGTCCCAAGTCACACAGTAGGAAACCATGAGAATGTCTCAGGACATTTGATGTCAAAGGCACCAATTCTGTCATAAAGAAAACCCTTATCCCCTGCTGATGGGAGGGTAAACAAGTACAACCACTATGGAAATCAATATGGAGGTTCCACGTCTCTAGTCCCAGCACTTGGGAGGCAGAGACAGGCAGATCTCTGTGAGTTCAAGGCCAGCCTGGTCTACATAGTGAGTTCCAGGCCAGCTGGGGCTACAGGGAGACCCTGTCTCAAAAAACAAAAACAAACAAACAAAAAAAATTAAATTTGGAATTACCGTATGACCCAGCTGTATCACTCTTGAGTGGATACCCAAATGACTCTATATCCTGCTACAGAGATACTTGTGCATCCGTGTTTAGTACCACACTATTCACAATAAGCAGGAAATGAAGGCAGCCTAGATGTCCATCAACAGAAGAATGAATAATAAAAATGTAGCACATATACATAATGGACTTTTACTTATGCATTAAGAAAAATGAAACTACAAACTGCAGGAAAATGGGTGGAACTAGAAAGTATTAGGTTAAGTGACGTGACCCAAGCTCAGAAAGACAAAAACCACGTTCTTTCTCATATGAAGATCCTAACTTTTAATGATTGCATATATGTTAATAAAGGGGTTGTGAGAGTGGGACTAGACAGTGAAACTAGGGAGAAGCCCATGAGACGTCAACAAGAGGAACTGAGAAACTGGGAGAGAAATAGAAAAGGCCTGATGTGCCATGATGATGGAAGATGGAAAGTCAAAGAGAACAGGGATGGAGGGGAGATGGGGAAGAAGTGGGGAGAGAAACAACAAAACAAATTTTGTTTTAAAAATGTCATAGTTAAATGCATAATTCTTCATAAGCTAATAAAATGTATAAATAAGGACTGGGCATGGAGGTAGATGCCTTTAGCCTCAGCACTAGAAGGCAGGGGCAGGTGGATCTCTGTGAGATGGAGGCCAGCCTTGTCTACACAGAATATTCCAGGCCATCTGGGGCTACAGAAAGACCCTGTCTCAAAAGAAAAACCAACCAGCTAGCCAAAAAAAAAAAAAA